AAATTTTTTTTGGTATGTGGAATAATACTAGTACATTGGTAGACTACATGAAAGCTACAAAAGGTACCATACTGGGATATGAACCCTAGATGATGAAAAATCACTTCTGTCATATTTAAATGCCAATAGACTATATGCCTATTAGATCTAAATTACACTAAGATACAAATAGATGATTTATATAAAGACTACGTAACTAGAATAAGAATGGACACCAGCTGGACGTGGTGGCCCACGCCTGTGATTCCAGCACTTGGGGAAGCTGAGGCAGGAGGATCACTGCAAGTTCCAGGCCAACTTGGGCTACATAGTGAGTTCAAGGCCTGCCTGAAATACATAGTGAGCCCGTTTCAAAACAACAAAAAATATAAAAAACAACATGAATCCCCACTGCTGTGTGTTCAAAACACAGCATTCTTGAAACACTCCAAACTGAAATCTTAGGGAATTTAACAATCCGTCCAGAAGTTGTTCAGACGACAGTGCTTGATACACTGCTTTGACACTTTTCACAGTATTGGTCATTCAGAAAAGAAATATGAAATAAAATAAGCATAATACAATATTAACAACATTGGAAATGAGATTACATGTAAATCACATTTTATGTGTTTGTAACACATAAAATTATTATTATTATTTTTTTGGTACCAGGGATTGAACTCAGGTCCTTGTGCTTGTGAGGCATGCGGCGGAACCACTGAGCTAAATTCCCGGCCCATAAAATCATTTTGAAGAAATAACTTAAGAATGTTTTAAGGGGACCAGCAATTTAGCTCAGTGGTTCCACTGCCTCTCTTGCAAGCGCAAGGACCTGAGTTCAATCCCCGGTACCAAAAAAAAAAAAAATGTTTGAAGGAATTCCAGAATTCTTTCTTCCTTTTCCACGTCTTCTACTTCTGTTCATTTCAATTTTCTTAATTAGTCCCACAATTTTCTTTGTGTAGACAGATAGCTGAATAGGCAATTCAATCATCAATCTTACCTCAAAGACTAGTTATAAAAAAAAGAAAAACACTTGGCTAAGAGTCATAAAAACAGGCTATAACCCTGATTCTGTTCTTACATAGTTTTGTGACACTAAGGGAGTCTAAAAGTTCTTTAGATTTAAATTGTTCTTGTCTGCAAAATTGAAAATAGGACAAATTAGGCTACAGAATTTGCAGGGTTCCTTCCAGGTTCAACTTCGTTTTTGTAAACTGACCTCCAACACAAAGCTATGTTGATGTGTCACATCTGGGCTTGTCTGTTTCACTGTTTATTCATCTGATGGCAGAATATGGGCTGCAGCAAATCAACAACATACAGTAACTAAGTAGAAAATGAAGCTGGATGGATCAATGAATAGTTGAGAGAAGGCTTCAGAGGAATAAAATACATTTCCTTCACATGCTCCTAACACAAATATAAATCAGGGGTCAACTGACTAAACTAGAAGGTGTTATGCAGGCAAAAACCGCCAAAACCTTTAGGTCTTACAGCCAAATGTGCACATACATGCATTTTCTTTCCCATGCTAGTTACGCAGCATAGAAAATAATTTGTACTGATCCCTTGCTACTGGCTTAGGAACCAAGAATCCAGAATTATAATGCATTGGTAAAGACAAGATTGCAGAGACATTCACTATAGGTTGTCACCTTTAATCAAAGTAACTTTTATGATTTCTCACACTTTCCATCTCAGTATCACAACTCTAAAAGGCAGTGAGGACAGGCATTAACATCTCCAGGTTACATGTGAAAATCTGGGACTCAAAAAGAGTAAGGAGTAGTATTAATATAGAAGGTCAGCTATCTATAAATGATGAAACAGGGTTCTGGCCCAGGTATGCTAACCACTAGTCTAATGGTTTTTTCAAAATGCCACCTTGCCATCTTATAATACATGATGCTGATCACAGACACTGTGTGGACTTGTATGCACATATGGTACTAACATCTCTGTCAGAAAAACAACTTGTCTTGGTGTTCTCTTTAGTGAATTAAGGCTCATTTCCAGAGTCTGAGATGTGGACCTCTAATGGGTTAATGCAAAACCTATGCAAAAGTGCTGGAATGAAACAAAAAGCTATTTTCACAAAAAACTTTTTATGCAAGATTGTTAAGACATTCCTTGGCCTTAACATGTGTACATATACACAAAAAGCAGTCAGTCCCTACCAACTCTTGACCATATTCTCTGGAAACATTAGATAAGCCAGCTTCAAGTTTTTTCTTTCTTTTTTTTTTTTTTTTTTTTGTTTTATTTTTTTTTTTTTTTTTTTGAGACAGGGTCTCACTATGTAGTTTAGACTGCTCTGGAACTCACTGTATAGCCCAGGCTGGTCTCAAACTTGCAGCGATCCTCCTGCCTCAGCCTCCCAAGTGTTGGGATTACAGGGGTGCGCCACCACATCCGGCTCAAGTTTTTTCTTTTATGGAAATCATTAGGTACATTTAAAAGACTAATTCACCATGTTATTTAGAATTTAAATGTACCAGAGAACTTTGGGGGTTGGGGATGAAGCTCAATGGTGTAACACTTGCCTGGCATGCACAAAACCCTGTTTGATCCCAGCACCAAAAATCAAAACCAAACCAAAATAAAACAAATTTTTGTTTTCAAACTTGTTTTGTTTTAGAATAATTCTAAAGTGCCAGTTAATCATCTGCCATCCATTTTTCTTTCAGTATTGCTTTATTTTCTAAAAGGAAGTTTTTAGCTGGGGTTGTAGCTCAGTGGTTATTTACCTAACATGTGTGAAACCCTGGGTTCAACCCCCTGTACTATAAAACCAAACCAAACCAAAACTGTAAAATACATAAACAAAAAAATCGTAAAATCTTTCTTTCCTGCTTCCCAAAGGAACGTGAAAAATAGTATTTGAAAAATATGGATCATTATAAAATTCAAGATTATTACATGCCTGTATCCGGGAGGCTGAGGCAAGAGGATTGTCATGAGTTCAAGGCCAGCCTGGAATACACAGTAAGACTGTTTCAAAATAACAAAAAATAGACAAGATTATGAATTTTTTCTTTCAGATCTGAATTTTCCAGGTTTTGTTGTTTTTTTACTTTTTTTTTTGTTTTAATGGGTCTCAAAATTCTGTGACAGATTTTTGGTTATCTCCATTAAAAAGTGTTGATTTTTCTTTCTTTTTTTGGTATTGGGGATGGAACTTTAGTCCTTGCACTGCTGATTTTTTTTTTTTTATGGTTTTTTGAGACAGTTTCTCACTATGTAGTTGAGACTGACCTGGAACTCACTATGTAGCCCAGGCTGGTCTCGAACTCACAGCAATTCTCCTGCCTTAGCCTCCCGAGTGCTGGGATTACTGGTATGTGCTGAGTGTTGATTTTTAAAACTAATAAAACTGCCACACCTACACACACCCACACAAATGATCCACAAAACATTCTCCTTTCCTTCTGGTTTCTCGATGCATCATTATTCTTAACCACTCTTACTATTAAACTTAAATGGCCAATTGGGAAAAACAGTACTGAGACTGGTCTCCCACTGCTGATTAAGACTGGGGTGGCAGGTGTTAGGAGTAATATTCAGCCTTCTGAGCTTTCTGGGCAGACTTGATGATCTTGCTAGTTCCGGCAGCTTTTTGTCCACTGCGTTGATGACACTACAGCAACTATCTGTCTCACATGAGCAGTGAAAATGACCCAAAGGTGGAGAGTCAGAGAAGCTCTTGCCTGGAACCATGTCAACAATAGCAGCATCACCAGATTTCAAGAATTTGGGGTCATCTTCCAGCTTCTTACCAGACCAGTGATCAATCTTCTTTCAGCTCAGCAAATTTGCAATGTGAGCTGTGTGGCAATCCAGTACAGGGGCACAGCCAGACCTGATCTGACCCGGATGGTTCAGAATAATCACCTGAGCAGTGAAACCAGCTCCTTCCATTGGTGGTCATTTTTGCTGTCACCAGCAATGTTGCCACAATGAACATCTTTGACAGACACGTTCTTGACACTGAAGCCCACATTGTCCCCAGGAAAAGCCTCACTCAAAGCTTCATGTTGCATTTCAACAGACTTTATTTCAGTGGTGACATTGACTGGTGTGAAGGTGACCACCATGCTAGATTGGAGACCAGTCTCCACTTGGCTCATAGGGATGGAATCAATGCCACCAGTTTTGTAGACATCCTAGTGGGGCAGCTGCAAAGGCTTGTCAGTTGGGTGAGTCAGTGATAGGAAGCAATCCAAGGCTTCAAGCAGTGTGGTCCCACTGGCACTGCTAAGTTTACAAGTGCCCTTCCATCCCTTAAAGCATGTTAGCCCTTGGCTCCAGCATGTTGTCACCATTGCAAGCAGAAATTGGCACAAAAGCTACTGTGTCGGGGTTGTGGTCATTTTCTTAATGTAGGTGCTGACTTCCTTGACAATTTCCTTGTATCTCTTCTGGCTGTAGGGTGGCTCAGTGGAATCCATTTTGTTAACACCAACAATGAGTTGTTTCACACCCAGCATGGAAGCCAGAAGGGCATGCTCACGGATGACACCAGCTTCCAACTCACCACCAACACCAGCAGCCTGAGATGTGCCTGTAATCACGCTTCTGATAAAATCTGTGTCCTGGGGCATTAATGATAGTCACATACTTGCTGCTCTCAAACTTCCACAGGGAGATGTCAATGGTGATACCATGCTCATGCTCAGTGTTCAGCTTATCCAAGACCCAGGTGTACTTCTGAAACATTTCTCCATCCCAGAAGCTTCCTTCTCAAATTTTTCAGTGGTTTCTGTTGTTGATGCCAACACATTTGTAGATCAGATGGCGGTGGTGGACCTGCCTGAATCCACATGTGTGATGATGATGATATTAATACGAATCTTTTCCTTTGCCTTGTTGGCTTTGAATTAGTGGTGGTTTTCACTACACCTGTGCTCTCACAGCAAACCCATTGCAGAAAAATAGCTGTATTTTTCAGTATTTGAAACCAAATGCTAAAATAAAATTTTTATGTAAGCTATGTAAGATTATCTTTTCTATTTAGGTAATTTTGACTTTTTCCGCTGAAATGAATACCTTGTCTATATACATCTGGGAACACTGCTCAAGGTGACTTTTTTATAACAGGGAATGAGTTTAGAAAAATATTTACATAAGAAGGCATTTAGTCATTTTATTATTTTTTGGTGCTGGGGACTGAACACTGGCTCTGCACATGCCAATCATGTGTTCTACCACTGAGCAACACCATTAGCTCTGACCCTTTTATATAAGATCATTTACACAGATACAGCATTACTGAAATAACTTCTCCACAGATGACAGGAATGACACTTCAAACTCCTGATCAGAGAATCTGCTTACAGATGCACGAGCATTTTTTCTGATTTGTAGTCTCTTCTCTGTTGACAAGGAGAGAATATGGGCCATGGTCTCAGCATAGTCTTCTTCACTCTCAGCCAGAAAGCCAGTTACCTCTCCTTCATGAGGCACAACAATGTCAAGCTTCGGGCCCCCTGAATTGTGTGCGAGGATAATTGTGCCAGCTGCCATACACTCCACCACTCCTGGGAAAGGGAGGAAAAAAAAAACCCATGCAGTTTTTTATGTTTTTGAGTATGTTCATAAGAATGAGGATGAGCAGAAACCTTCAAATTTTTTTGAGACTTATGAGAAATTTAAAGACATATATGCATATAAATTTGTTCATTTAACGTCTCTTATGCAAATAGAATGATTTTAAGTTTTCAATTTCCAAAGCTTCACAATAAGCCTGGTTTACTTTTTATTTAAAACAGACAAGGGATGGAAGTTGCAAAGTTTTAAGAGTTTGAATCATGTACATTAGCAGAAACAAGGAAAAATGTGAATCATCTCAGTGAAGCATAATGTTGCTGGTGCTTTTGTTACCGCCTCCATTTCTACTATGCTCAACAGCAGGGATGAACTAAATGGAGGCTTATACAGGAGAGGGTATAAATGCTTCAGCTGGCCTTTCTTACCTGTTTTCCTGGGAGAATTAAGCCCTTCAGAAAATGACTTATTAAGTCATCAATTTTCTGAAGGATGAAAAGGGATGATATCCTAGGCGCATAGGAGAGAAGTTAAATCATTCCTTGAACAGTGGTGAAATCCCTACAGGGAGGCATTTAGTGCCTCGGATTCTGTATGAGGCTGACAAGCATCCCTTTATACTTTCCCAAGCCCTCCATTGATCAGTTATTGCTCCTCTTCCCTCCATGATCTGCCCCCTCTCCTTTTTCTCCTGGCAACTTTCTATCAGCATTTAAGAGGTGAGGCTCCTAACACTAAGAAGGGCACACATACACACACCCTCCTCAAGTCACATGTCCACCCAGCTATCCTCTCCTTTCACCTCCCTTTCACAGATACACTTCCCGACAGTGTGGCTGGCACTCGCTCTACTTGCTCACTTAAACTCAGCACTCGGCACAATTTGACTTTTTCTTCCCCTTCTCCCTTGAACCTCGCGTGTTCCCAGGTCACCAATAACCTCCTTATGTTCACCCAGTATCTGGGCTGTTTGAGAATTTGTTGCTATCTTTCCTTTTCCTGAAACACTGTTTTCTGTGGTCTCCAAGGCACTGGAGTCTGCACATTTTCCCCAGCCCTCCCTTCTCTTCTATATCCACAGCCATAGGACTTCACTACTTGAGCAATCACCACTTTTCATTCCTTATTTCCAGATCAGGTCCTTTTCATCAACAGTAGATCTAGTGGACACAAGTAACTAAATTTCTCTGTGCCTGAGTTTCTGTATCTATAAAAAGGAATTATAAAGAATATCATCAGAGGATTAAACTAGGTAATGCTTATAAAAAACTCAACACAATGACCTACACATAGTGAGTGGTCAAGAAAAAAAAATTTTTGGTGGGAGCTGGGGATTGAACATAGGACCTCAGAGATGCTAGGAAATCATTTTATAACTGTTACATCCTTAGTCCAGGTGTTATTACTAACTACTGTCTTACTTAACAGGGTCTGAAGTAAGCAAAGCATTCTTGGTGGACTAGGGAAAGAGAATTAGGACTTGATGCAGATTCCTAGAGTATTATCATCTTACCAAAAAAAAAAAAAATGTAAGAAGTACATCTTGAAGCAACAATTTGTTTAAAAGAAAGACTCACCAATTCCAAAGTGCTCATTCCACATGGTATGCAGACCAACTGTTGCTTCAGACAAATACTTCTTTAACTCATCAAATGGAATGTTTATTTTAAATTCCACGTTTTCTTGAACCTTTAAGTCCTCACACAGTCCTCTCAGTTGGTTCACTCTAAGTTCATCATCTTTGTTACGACAACCTCCAATGAGGACAAGTTTAAGTGATGAAGGCGACTCAGCCACCTTCTTACTCAGCAATTTAGCAAAGGCTCTGATCTGCAAAGGATGATTCTTTTCAGGCCTGAACTGGCCAATGGAAATAAATAAATGTCCTGGGATCATCTTTTTCTCATGTAAAGGAATGTCCAGAAATGTCTGCACATCACACGGTGGATAAACAATGTTCGTGCAATTGCCAACCTTCCACAGAGACAGAATATGGTTTAACGTCCAAGAAGAATTGACCATGACGACATCACTGCATGAACCAACAAGTCCATAAACAGAAGCAAATAAATAGTAGTAGATGAGTTTTACTTTGCTGAGAAAAGGATTCCTGGTAATGAAGGCTGCATTATTAAATCTAGCATTTTGATTCTTCACTACAGAGAGCATGTCAGTGCTGATAGTGGGATAATGAACATAGCTTCCAACTTGGCAACCCCCTAGGTACTTAAACAGAGGGAGTGTGAAAGCATATCCCATGGAATCAATGTAAAGGTCAGGAACACACTGCATCAGTGCTTCCCAACCAAGGAAAATGGATCCTAGGCTTTGGCCTAGTAGTGTGAAGTGAGGATAGCATGACTCTTCCACAAGGTGGCGTTTCCTTAAAAAAACAAACTGCACTGGGTGGATTAATCTGATGTTAAATCTTCTGAAAGCACCTTCTAGTATCTGTTGACCGCTGACATTAACATCACCAGTATAAACAACATAAAATGCTTCAGGATACCTAAAAAGAAGATAATAGTTATGAATATCATTAGTTTAGGTAAAAATCAAGCAAAAAGTTGGAGATAGTTTTCTTACAATCATAAAGATGCTTATTTTTATACTAGAATATATATATATATATATGTATACATATATATATACATATACATATATATACATATGTATGTA